GTTCAAGACCACTGAGTGACATAGCAAGACCCCTGTCGCTATATACATACACAAATATATATATATATATATATACACACACAAATATATATATACACACAAATATATATATATATACACAAATATATATATATATATATATACACACACAAATATATATATACACACAAATATATATATATATACACAAATATATATATATATATATATACACACATATATAGGTATCAAGATAGTCGACTCTCTCTCCATGTATAAAAGCGAGTCTCCATTTCCTCCTCTCTTGCTTTTGGAGTTAACACATTTTCGAGTCTCTATGATGCTTAAGGAAAGCCTAGGCTGCAGCACTGCTCAGGGAAATGAGTGTCAAGGTATAAACTCTCTTCCTTCTCTCCACACCTAGTTCCCTTAATCACTTTGTCTTTTTTAGTTTCTAACATTACAGCGTTACTCTTTACTTGCTTATAATATAGATGGCATTTTAATTAAATTATATCATTCCAAAGTTCTAGATTTTAAACAAGCAATTTTTAAAAACTTTTGGAATGTTACCTTTTTGTAAAGTGAACCCTTTCCCCCTTCACAAGATTGTTATAATTCTTTCAGAACCAAGACTTCGTAGAACCCAAGTTGAAAAAAAAAACATACCATGGAACAAGTCATAGAAGGTGCTACTATCCAAGAACTATACTATATGGCAAATACTGTCCAAAGAGCTCACTGTACATTAGCTCACCAAATTGTCAACACAACTCAATGGAGAGAGCATTATAATTATCTTCTATATTTTTAAATGAGAAGATAGCAGACCATACAAATATTGGTCAACTACTCATTTCTAGAGCCTTTTTAGTGGAGCCTTTTTAGTGCTAGTTACTAAGTCTAAAAAAGAAAAGACATGGTCCTTGCCCTTAATGTACTTGAGCATCTAGTAAGGGCACAGGATGGCAACCAGCTACCCAAATGAGGTTATCAGTGCATGTGCTTTAAGCATTCATAAGAGGCAAGGCCACTTTGGGCCTTGGTACTTGAACAAGCTCCTTCTTAGAACCCTTGGCATTTGAACTAGACATTGAAGGGATTTGAGATGAAATACTTCAGGAAAAAAGGCTGAATATTTGAGGCAGAGAGAGTATTTTTGGCAATTTTGTGAAATATTCGTTAGAATATTTGTGTTGAGTAGAAAAGTTAAATTAGGAGGTCTCTAACTGGCATTCTCAGGGCCCAGGCGAATAGTGCTATTGACAGTGGTATGGAAACAGTATTGAATTGTCATTTCCCCCCACATACTATGTTGGTATCAGTGGACTCCAGGAGCTAAAGTTAGAGGAAAAGAGTACAGCCTAGTAAACAGCCTTTATTGAGAATTTGCTATTTAAGCCCCACCACAACCTTCTTAGGTAATTTATAGGTACAGGAACTAAGTAAGCCATAGAGAGATTGAGTAACTCAGCAAGAGGCAGAGCCAGGATCCCAGGCAGTCCGTGTTCACAGCCCTCCACACTCGGTGCTGCCATGAATCTAAAATCTTTCATCAAGGAAAATTTCTCAGTGGTGCCATCAAACTTGCCATCTCAAAACTTGCCATTTCTATACTGAACATTATAATGCCACAGACACATGTGGTCCACACACACACACTTTACTGTAGATCATCAAGAAGAAGGAAGAAAGAAAGGGGCAGTCTTCTCACCATTTTAATACCTATTTGTAAAAACACATGACTGTGTTTGATCCGTAAGCATTAGGAACCACCTGTATGAGAAAGGCTGGGCCACGTGAATGAGCTGTTCCTAAGATTTTAAGATGAATTGTGACAGTCGTGTAGAATGACTGAGTAGAAAGGTAGATGGAGCTACATGGGGAAAGGAGATTGGTCAAGGCTGTTGTGAAAGGTGATATTGATGAAGACCTATAATCCTGATTGAGGAGAGAAGTATTTGGGCAGAAGGTAGAAGCAGAAGTATTGATTCCAGAGGAGTTTTGAAAGTAAATGAAATGTGAACATAGTTCTGAATCTGGCTAATTGGCATGACAAGTTACAGGAGGCAAAGACATCTTATTTACCTCCATGTGAGAGAAAGAAAAGGGTGGGTGGCATTGAGGTAAGGCAACTAAAACAAGGATTATGGTCGCAGTTGGCGGGCAGAAATGAATGGCCTCTGAGGTCTGCAGATAGAGAGTGCTCTAAAATATTAAACTAGCTTGTACTGTCTAGTCAAGGAAAAGCTTCATCTCTCATGAAGTAATACAGACGAAAGATTGCTTGGTTTTTTTGATGCAAGTGAGTTAACAGGTGAGACATATTAACATTTTATGGAATGTATCATAGTCTATCAGCGATGGAATAGCGTCTTTTTTGGATGCTTGATCGGACAGCCCACCTTTCAGCGTGTAAATTGCGACTGTAGTATACAAGGCAAGTGGTCAGCCAGCCCTTTCTCAAATGGTAAATAAATCACCTCTTGATAGCTAAGTCACAAAGCTTTTCCCATGGGCTTCTGACTACTGGCCCAGTTCTTTGTTTTTTTTGAGATGGAGTTTCATTCTTGTTGCCCAGGCTGGAATGCAGTGGCATGATCTCAGCTCACTGCAACCTCTGCCTCCCAGGTTGAAGCAATTCTCCTGCCTCAGCCTCCCAAGTAGCTGGGATTACAGGCATGCACCATCATGCCCAGCTAATTTTTGTATGTTTAGTAGAGATGGGGTTTCACCATGTTGGTTAGGCTGGTCTCGAACTCCTGACCTCAGGTGATCCACCCGCCTCGGCCTCCCAAAGTGCTGGGGTTATAGGTGTGAGTCACCATACCCAGCCCCCAGTTCTCTTCTTTGGAGCCAAGCAGGTCTGGCCTAGTCTGTCTTCAAATACAGCTCCACTGAAGCTTTCTTCAATGAGCCTTTCATTTGCACTTCCTCTACCCCCTACGAACAATATACAGCACTCCTGAAGGGCTCTCCTTTCAACTTTGAATCTAAGCCTGTTGATGTAGGCATTTTCATTTATAAAGTAGCTCTCATTAAGTGCTGATTATTTTATAATTCAGTTATGAAACCAAATTGAAGCCTGGTTCTTACCCTAAAGTAAATCACAGAGTAATGGAGACTGAGAAACATTTGCAGAAAACTTGAAGAATCATTTTTTAAAAAGCGAATATAACCTAACCCGTTCAGTGGAAAGGGTAAATGTGGGGGAATTGCTTCATATCTTTATTACTGCTGTTGAGGTAAAATGTAAAGTGTCAAATGTGCATGTCTTAAATGTACAATCTGATTATTCTGACATAGGTAAGCATCATGTAATCCACACCTGAATCTAGAGTGTGTCACCCAGAAAATTTCCTTAGGCTCCCTTCTCATTGTTTCCCACTGACTGTTCTGATTTCTGTCAGCACAGATTAGTTTCGTCTGCTTCATATGGTTCTGTAAGTAATCAAAGTCCTCATCAAAAGTTTCTCACCGAACGTAACATGGTTCAGAAGAAAGTAACATTTAGAGACTCCACACCAACAAGCCGTGTGCCCTTGGGCAAAATACAAACTTCTTGGCCTCATATAAAGAATTGGATTAAGTGATCCTCAAGGTCCCTTACAGGTCCAACACTCCACCTACATTTCTAATCTCTATGGCCCCACCATCTACTCGGTACCCTGAGCCAGAAACAAACCTAGATTCACTCCTCCCTGCTCCCCCTCCCCATTCTCCCACATCCAGTTGACCACTGTACAGTATCACATCAGTTCTTCCTCGTAACTTTTTTGGACATGTCTTTTTTGGCCCCTACCTCCTCTCCATTTCTTGCCTGCTGTACTGTAACAGCCATCAAACTACTCTATCTCTTTTGCCTCTGGTCCTCTCTAAACCATTCTGGGGTCACTGCCCCCAGAGAGTAATCTTTGCTAAAATGAAACATATGGGTCCCTTCTGTCTGAAATCCTTAAGTAGTTCTCCACCATTTAAAATGCTTCTCTGCTACCTGCAGAATTGAGTTTAAATTCTGAAGAATGATAACATGAGGGCCTGGAACACATGGCTGCTGCCTACGTTTAGTGTTCCCATCCCCACTGTGCTTTTCTGCCGAAACATTTGCTCTGCCACTACCCCACCTCATTCCTCTCCTTTACTAACCCCTTATGTGTTCCCATAAGGTCTATTTAGGCCTTTATGCATGCCTGCTTCCCCAGTTATGTTGAGAACATCTTGAGTGAGGTTTAGGACCATGTCTTACTTCACTGTCTATCTCCAGCGTCTAGCAATCTGGCCTGTGACTGCTGAAAACACATAAGTGAAAACACTTAACCCCCTAAGTTAAATTCAGGATGACAGGATACAGGATCAGGATCTTACTTGGAGTTCAGGTTTATTTATCTATTTATTTTTAAAGACTGAGTCTCACTATATTGCCCAGGCTGTACCCCTGGGCAATAGTGATTCTCCCACCTCAGCCTCCCGAGTACCTGGGCGACAGGTGTGTGCCCCTGTGGCTCAAGCTGATGTTTTTAAAAATAAAAAAGTATATGGAACTTTTCACGTTTCTCACCACCTAAGCCTGATTTTAAGTGTTTCTTTTCAGTAGCTATCATGGTAACATTGGGTTAAAGGTGAGAAAGTCTACTTTTATTTGGAGAGATGGGTATATTAATAGGAGATATCAAAACTGAATTCTGTTGGTGTTTAAGGAGCTAGCCCTGTAATGTTTGATTCCCATCTCAAATTTGAGTTAATGTGCTTAATAGTTTTAGACTGGCAGATTCCTGTTTCTGCAAAGGAAGATATTTTCTTTCTAAAGGTTGTTGTGGTAATTAGCAAGCAGGAAATAAAACTAAAGATGACTGATAAATATTGACCCAGGTGTCCAGGAACACCAGTATCTCTAACCTTTGTTCATTGTGGTTCACACTGTCCTGATTTTTCAGTTTCTGGTGCTGCCCTGCAGTGTGAATCAGCATTATCACCCAAATTGAGCACTGCTTAATCTATGTTTTTATCTTTTCAAAACCTAGGTAAGAACCTTGATGCTATACATGATATCACTGTGGCATATCCTCACAACATTCCTCAATCAGAGAAGCACCTCCTCCAAGGAGACTTTCCCAGGGAAATCCACTTTCACGTCCACCGGTATCCAATAGACACCCTCCCCACATCCAAGGAGGACCTTCAACTGTGGTGCCACAAACGGTGGGAAGAGAAAGAAGAGAGGCTGCGTTCCTTCTATCAAGGGGAGAAGAATTTTTATTTTACCGGACAGAGTGTCATTCCACCTTGCAAGTCTGAACTCAGGGTCTTTGTGGTCAAATTGCTCTCTATACTGTATTGGACCCTGTTCAGCCCTGCAATGTGCCTACTCATATATTTGTACGGTCTTGTTCGGTGGTATTTTATAATCACCATTGTAATCTTTGTGCTGCAAGAGAGAATATTTGGTGGACTGGAGATCATAGAACTTGCATGTTACCGACTTTTACACAAACAGCCACATTTAAATTCAAAGAAAAATGAGTAAGATTATAAGGTTTACCTTGTAAAAACCTAGGGCATATTTTGGAAATGTTCTAAACCTTTGTAAGCTCAGATGCATTTTTGCATGACTATGTCGAATATTTCTTACTGCCATCATTATTTGTTAAAGATATTTTGCACTTAGTTTTGTGGGAAAAATATTGCTACAATTTTTTTTTTAATCTCTGAATGTAATTTCGATACTGTGTACATAGCAGGGAGTGATCGGGGTGAAATAACTTGGGCCAGAATATTATTAAACAACCATCAGGCTTTTAGCAGACAAGGAACACACACATTTTTCTTAAAGGCCCAATCCTAACAGACTCCCCATACCAGAGGCAGATCTGGAACTCGTCAACAATGGCCCGGATCACATGCTGTTACTGGACTGCCCAGGTCACCTCACTGAGGTGAGCGCTGTTCCTCCAGGTACTAAGGCAGGTGGTGCCCAGGCTCCCTCCCTTGGCACACTTCTTCCTGCGCCAAACCCATCTCATCCTTAAGATCAGAAAACGGAACCCCCTTGTCGTGAAACTGATCGAGCGTTTTGACAGGAAGCCCTTCATTATTCATAACATCGTGTGCTGACCAAGATGTCAGAAAACCACCTGTGCCCTTTTCTCTCATGGAAGCTAAAACCTGGACTCAGGGAGCAACCACAGGCTCTCCACTTTGAAACTTTAGTTTGAATTTTAAAAGATAGAAAGTAATACAGTTTAAGTTCCTTTCTCACACTCAGTGTTGCATGCTTAGTGCTAGTTTCCTTACAACATTTTGGCAGGTGTAGCTTTTTTTGTTAAAAATGGTATACATGAAGTCACATATTTTTTTAAAGGAACACTTAGAACATTCTGTTACTCCAGTCAGAAACCGTCTTTTGAAATATTTCTTTACAACCTACCAAAAAAGGAGAAGGTGGTTTTTTCTACATTTGTGTGGGTATCTAACATCTACCATTAAAACAACAAATGGCTTGCAGACAGGGCGGTAATGGTTTATCCTAAATTATTCAACCCCTTGTAGCCTTGACAAATTTTACCTTAAAACCAAAATGAAAACACAAAAATTAATCCTTTATAATGATAGCAAGTGACCTTTCTTTTTAGTTTTAGCCTTCCTTTTTCAATAGTAATATTTAAACCCCCTTTTGACCAGTTGTTGCCCAAATATTCTTGTCATTTGGAGTCAGTGGAAAATCCAGCACACCAAGCACCAGTCTCCTTCTGAGGCAAAAGAAAAGTGTTGTTGTCATTTTCACTCTGTTGGAGCTGCACACTTTTTGTTTATTTTGTTTTTTTTGTTTTTTTTGTTTTTTGTCATGTAAGAGGGATGCTGGTCAGAGCTGCAGAAAATATGAGGCAATTAAAAGTCTTTAGCTGTTAGCAAACCTGTCAGTTTTACTTCTGCACTGAACCAGCCTCAGAAACTACTTACTGCTTTATGTACTCTTTGGGCATGAATGCCTTCTCTTTAATTACATCTCATTTTTGCTTGACAGTGACCTACCCAATAATTGCATCATGCATTGCCATGAAAGGTAAACACATTGTGAACTGAACTTGCCAAGCAGATTCTGTGAGAAAGCACTGGTCTAGGCTGAACACTGTTGGACACATCGTTTTTATTGGAAGAGTATTAACTGGTGCCTCTTCTGAAACACACCAACCCATATTCCGCAGCTCCCCCAAAGCTGTTTCTGATCCTGCTGGGAGCAGCTAGTTATTATGCACATCTGCTCCAGACCCAGCTCTTTAACTTCATGGTTTTATGGCTTGTTTTCTTTTTTTTTTTTAAAAAGCACCTTTTTTGGTTGTTTCCCCTTAATAAAAGAGGTTTCTAATTCATGTTTCTCTAAGATTTCCTTTGGTTGTATTTAGGAACACAAGTAGTTTTATAATCAGGATTGCATTTGTGCTGGGTAAGAGGAGAGCTGTGCTTTCTACCCCAAAGTTGGTAATGGAGCCTGTCTGCCCTTCCTACAAACTCAAGAGGCTCATTGTTCAAGGTGTAACAACATTTCATTGCATGCCCTCTAATGCTTTGAAACCTTTAGAAGGGAAAATCTCGTTTTTTACAATTTTGTTCCTTTTCATCATAGAAAACATGTTTAAGATAAAATACAAACTTGACCTACCCCAAATTCATAAAGTACATTTAATGCTGTATAGCACTAAAACTTAGGGATATAGACACTGTACTTGCTTTTTAAGAATTAGAAATAGTAACTCCAAAAATAATTGTCCTTTTTTCTTTTTTTTTTTTTTTTTTGCAATAAGGCTCTTGAAAATTGTCATTATTTGTGTTTTCCTATACATTCATCTGTGTGAAAGTCTTTTTCTTCTTTGATTTAAAAAAATTAAAGAACTATACAGTTAATGGTTTAGAACTTAGAACTACTTAGAATTAATACTAAAGTGTCAGGAAGAAATTAATTTAGCTTCAATAATTGTGACTGGCCTCAGGAATTCTCCCTTCCACACCTGCCCACCTCACCACACCAGAGCCAGAGCAGCTGCTTGTCTGCAGCAGGACAAGTTCCTATGTACGCACTTCCAGTTCTTTCATGGTAAGCTCAATGGACTTTGAATTGTTTACAGTGCTATATGTCCAATTGTTAAATGTACCATTCTGAACGGTGTGAAGGCAAGTGTGGTTTATTTATGACATGAACCATGCTACTTAAAATATGAACTCACAAGGAAGGGCACTCATTAGGTAACAAGTTCTTATACCAAACTTCCTTGATGAAATAAGCCAAAATAATCCTAAAATTCATTAGAAGAACTTGATAAAAGATGCAAATAAATGTTAAAAAAGAGCTCGTAAATTTAGGACTCCTATAAAATCCTTGTTTGTTAATACTATTAAAACTCAGATTCAAGGGAAATAACAGCTTCCGCCTGAGTCACTTTGAAATTACTTAATTCAGCTGCACCATGTTAGAAATCATATATTGGCAGCCAAGACTCTGAACTCTGCAGAAACATTTGTTTCACCCAGACTTCAGACTCTAGCCCTGACTATGATGCCCGTGTGTGCATTTACAATGAAGACTCCAACGGAGGGAGCCTGTTGGTGTTCAATTGTTTACATTTCTTTATACAAATAATGTGCTTTCAGTGCCTTAGTTACAGCTCCCTTTCTTTTTCTTGTTCCAAGGATTCTGTAGTATGTAGTCTGTTTCTTAGGTAAAGTCTCTCTTTGCTACTGAAAGGGAAATGGTCTCTAAACACTGGTCACTGTAGCAGGTAAACACTACTCTGAGGTGGAGAAGTGAGCTTCATGCTGAGGTAGTGGTTGCCTTAGAGCTGTTATTTATGCTGTAGAAAACGAAAATGGTTTTGCTACCTGATAAGCTTCAGATTAGTTATAGCCCTAAAGTTATCCTGTACCTACATTAAATTTTCATTTCAGAAGAGAATCTTGGTTGTGGTAATTCTTTTTTTTTTTAAGATCATTATGTGCAAAACACCAAGTTTTTAAAATAACTCACAGAAAGGCCTTAGTTTTCAATGTCTGATGGTGTATTTGAGTTGTGTTATCTGTAATATACATCCCAGAATAAAGGAGTGAATTAAATAGTTTGCATGCGTGTTATGTTCTGTTTTTGCAGGAACGACAAGTAACTGCAGGTGAAGGTGCTACTCCCCTCCCCCTCCCCCGCAATGCCTTGCAGTGCAGTGTCTAGTGTTAAGGAAAAAGCTGGCCAGTTAGGTCTCTTTTTTTTCCACAGATGTCAAGAAAAGTGGCCTAATCAAGAAAATAATGTACTACCCCCACAACTGAAAAAGTCCAGGCACCACAATTGAATTCAGGACTCAACGAATGTCATCAGAACTTGCTTTTCCTCCATCTCTTAGCACAGCCTTGCTATTGAGAACAATTTGGTTGTTCCACAAATGTGGTATCTTACATAAATATCAGCATCACCAACTCTTAGCTAAGATAAATGGGACTCTGTGCCCCGGTCCCTGACCTCATGTCGGGGAGTATATAACTATCTTGGACCCAAAGCTGACAAATGTATAAAAATGTGTTTAGCAAACAAACACATGAGAATCATGGAGTCTCTTGTAATGGGGCCTTCTGCAATGCCCCACTCTGTCTTCTCAAGTGAGCACCTTGTGTGATAGATTCATGTGGAGCGGAGTCCACAGCGTTATTCCCTGGGAAAGGGAAATGCAGGACCAGAAGAGCACAGGCCCGGCCCCAAGAGCACCAGTGCTTGTGGGACTCCTGTCCTCCGTTTAAGCAAAAGGAAGAGGAGGGCTTTGTTTCTCACCACCTACTTACACCTTCAGCATTATTTTTTTCACTGATAAATTATAGAAAAGGCTTAAGCAACCCTCTCTGGAGGGTGGATTTCTAGTGAGGGCTTCAAATTCCAGCTAGTACGTCCTGGAATGGACATAAGATACTAATCCACACATATACAGATACTAATCCACACATATACATATCCACACATACACATACTCAAATATTTTTAAACTAAATTACTAAAGAGACAACTTGTGTTGTCCTTGGGTTGATCTGCAGGATCCATGTGGGGTGACATGATGCCTGCAGCCACTTCAGCCCTGCATCCTCTCAGGTTCAAGTCCAGTGGGAAAGAACAAGAGAGACTGCTGCCCCTGTGGCTCAACAACCACCCCGTATTGGGTTTCAGTGCCCATCCCTGAACCAGTCAATTGCCCAGATACATGATGTGTGTTAACAGCGCTGGGTTACTTGCGGAGCCTGTTGAGTAACCTGGACTGCATGGATGGGGGAGGGATGAATTTTAAGACAAAAATTAAACACTTGTTATCAAGAACAGGATGAACTGACACTGGATGGCCAAATGACCACAAATGTCCACCACAACTATCAAACTTCCCAACCTCCCAGTGGAGGGAGGCTGGAGCAAATGAATGTGATTTCCTGTGCAGTGAGAGACATCAAGAGGCTGGGCAGCCTTGTCCATCCACACCAGGGGATATCTGGGAACCTAAGGGTTCTCCATAGCTGTGTCTGGACAATCTCATCAACAATTGGTCCATCTGAATTATTCAGTCATTGCCTCCACACAGATCAGTATTGAGAGCATTTCCTTATGGGAAGTTTCTTGAAGTGTAAATACTACAGCTCTAACGGCTCTCCCTGTTGGCAGAGGCAGTTCCCTCCTTCCTTGACACTCAAGCTGTCACTACCAGCCACGTCTTCCTCTTCAGGGCCGCCCTTACTTCTGTTCTGCACACCACAACTATTGCATCAGACCTGGGCAGGTCTGGCAACATCCCATCAGTGTCCTGCTCCCACATTCTCCCCACGCCAGTCTTGGTGCACTAGACTTGTTCCTTGATCATCCTGCGACACCAGTTGTATCATGGAGCTTCCCTTCTTGTAACTCAGTGCTTCCTTCCAACTACTGGACAGCCAGACTCCTCTGCCTCCCCTGGGTCCTCTAGCCCAGCCTTAACCTTGTTCCCAGGCATTTTCTCCTGTGCGAACCTTTTCATACCAGCGCAACTGGTTGCCCAAACCTCATGTCCTCTCTCCCTTTCCCAACTTTGCACATATTTCTCGTTTGTGAAAGGTGCTTGCTTAACCAGCCCCAGTCTAATTGAATCCCACTTTTTCTCTGAAGCTTATCCTGATCAATCTAGCTTGAAATGTCCTCCTCCTACCATGGGTGATATTTCTCTGCAGCTCTCGCTTGACTGTATTCCAAGCTGTCTTATGTTACAGTTATGTTTCAGTCTTATCACCTCCATTGGATTATAAACCTCTGGAAAGCCTAGATAAGGGTATCTAATATTTCTCTTACCCCAAACAGTGTTCAGCTCAGCCATTCTTTTTGTACAATACATTCTTAATGGTGATTGCCTGAAGTTATTCATAAAGCATCCTGTTCTAAATGAAAGCTGGGTGGAGAAGTTTACAAATTTAAAATTTAAAAATAATAATAATTGAAGGCCAGGTGCGGTGGCTCACGCCTGTAATCCCAGCACTTTGGGAGGATGAGGCAAGCGGATCACCTGAGATCAGGAGTTCAAGACCAGCCTGGCCAATATGGTGAAACCCTGTTTCTACTAAAAATACAGAAATTAGCTGGGCATGGCGGCGGGCACCTGTAATCCCAGCTACTCAGGAGGCTGAGGCAGGAGAATTGCTTGAATCCAGGAGGAGAGGTTTCAGTGAGCTGAGATCACGCCACTGAACTCCAGCCTGGGCAACACAGCGAGACTCTGTCTCAAAAATAATAATAATAATAATAATAGAAGTGCAAGCCCATCTACTTCTGGAAAATAGATTTTTTGATAAGAATAAAATTACTTGAAATGATTCACCAAAATATTAATATCTGCTCTTAGAAAAGTGGGCTCAACATGTGTACCCTCAAGAAGCCTAGGTCAGGTGATTTCACCATGCCCTCTTCTATACTTGAGCAGAAGAGAACTCGCCAAGGTCTAACATAATTGTTACACATTTACCCTTGTCCCACAGTGCTGCTTCTAAGAACCTATTCCAACAGTACACTGGCCAAAACAAAGATAATTGTAAGGTGCATAAACAAAAGTCCACAGCCCTCTCCATAAGAATACTGGAAACAACCTAATGTCTGTGGTGGGGAACTGATTGAATAGTCCATGGTACAATTACACTGGTTACCACCTTATCTGTTCCCATGTTCATAGCAGCATTATTCACAAGCACCAAAAGGAGGAAGCAACACAAATATCCACTGGTGGATGAATGGATAAACACAATGTGTTGTGTACATAGACGCATACACACAGACGCTGGAATATTACTCAACCCTTAAAAAGAGGGAACTATTATTTGCGACGGGGATGAATCTGGAGGATATTATACTAAGTGAAATAAGTCAATCACCAAAAAAATAAGACAATACCTACTTTGGGGTATATTTGTTAAGAGTGAAAATGGAAGCTCATCTTCCTAATAGTCTGGTAAGTGCTACATAAGCTTAAGGGTTTTGTTACTTACGGTAAGTAGTTTCGAGTCTACTTCTGAAGCAATTGGTGTAGGGCTCCACCTAGACAATGCAGGCAGCAGGTCAGCCAGTCCTGGGCAGTCGGTCGTGCCGGCTGAGTGGCTGGTGTGTGGGAAGACCATCCCACCATAGCCGTCTGCCTGGGGGAGCTTCTGGGGACTCAGGAACCTTCTGGGGGAGTGTAGGAGGGGGATTGCCACCCCTCATCCAGTCCTGGGTCTTCCAGCCAAAGTGTCAGTCCCTTAGCAGAGCCAGGAAGAGTTCCAGATAAACATTCACCAAATCCAGTCAGCTCTTCTCCCACCATAGCGTCTCTCCAAAGGCCTCCCTCTGCAAGCTCTCCCCAAAAGCCCCCTTGACATGACCTCTCAAGCATCCCCGCTTGTGGGGAGTGAGCAGGGAACAGACAGGGCTCTCTCCAGCCTGGCGCCAGACTCTGTCTCCTCCCTCCCAGGCCAGGACTCTTAAGCCAGGCGCATTAGAATCACCTGCAGAACCTTAATACCTGCATCCAGGCCCCACCCTCAGGACGCTGACTTCATTGGTCAGGTGTGCAGCCTGAACCTCCAGAGCCGTAAAAGCTCCCAGGTGATTCTCATGAGCAGCCAGGGTGCCCGCCCTTCTAAGACCTCAAACTTAGGGCTTCCCCTCTCTAGGCCTCTGGTCCCTCATTTGCAAAATAAGCATTTGGTTGTAAGTATTCGGGAAGCCGAGGTAATTTATAAGTTGATGGCATTCAGTAAATATTAACTATTTACTGGATGTGGGGCCCCGGCTTAGGACTAGGGACGGTGCAAAGATACATAAGCTTTATTTGGCTGGGTGCAGTGGCTCACACCTGTAATCCCAGCATTTTGGGATGCAGAGGTGGGCAGATCATTTGAGGTCAGGAGTTCAAGGCCAATATGGCGAAACCCCGCCTCTACTAAAAATACAAAAATTAGCCGGCATGGGGGCACGTGCCTGTAGTGCCCCCAAGGGAGGAGGAGGAGGCAGGAAAATCACTTGAACCCAGGAGGCAGAGGTTGCAGTAGCCAAGATCATGCCACTGCACCCCAGCCTGGGTGAAAGAGCAAGATTCTGTCTCAAAAAATAAATAAGCTTTATTCTTTGCCCTATGCACACATGTGTATGTGTACACACACCCTTTTCCTTCCAAAAAAAAAAAAAAAAAACCAGTGTTTGTGAAGCATTAGCTTCCAAATGTGAAGCCAACCAGACAGAAACGAAGAGGGCAAATAAACAAGAGAGGGCATCCTGTGCGAAGGCATAGCCGTGTATCTGGTACAAAAATGTGGGTACAGGCAGGCCTGAAGGCTTCCCAGACATATCTGGTGAGCCCAGGGCACCGACCCCGTTACCACCTTGTCCATTGCCCAGGGGCTAAGTAGGTGTTGTGGACAGTAGCTGGCAGTGCAATCTCCAGAAACCATTATGAAATGACAAATGACCACAGCCTGCTCCCTGTAACCATTTGTATCCACCTTGCTGACAATGGGAATTTTCTATCCCATGGGCTGGCTGGAGAAAGGGCCCTTCTCTTCAGCTCTTCATCCTGTAAGATTGAAACTCCATCTAAGAAATA